TGAGATAAAAGATGCCACAGAGTCTGACAATTCTGTTTCATACTTGGATATTTAACTTGAAAAAGACGCTAATAGTAATCTAACAACCAAACTATATGATAAACATGATGACTTTAACTTTTCTATCGTCAACTTCCCTTACTTATGCAACAATATACCTTCATTACCTGCATACGGAGTATAGATATCTCAGTTGATTCGATTGCAAGAGCATGCTCTACGTATGAACAATTTCTGAAACGAGGTAAATTATTGACAAGCAAGTTGATGAATCAAGAATATCAGTAGTCTCGTTTAAAGTCATCAGTTCGTAAGTTCTATGGTCGATACAATGACCTTGTTAGCAAATACAATTTATCGTTAAGTCAAATGCTGACTGACGTTTTTCATTATAACTGTTAGTCCATTATTTATACACTGAATTGACGACGGATTTTTCCGTTATTTCCTGATCATGACAAGGAGCACACGGCAGGTGTGACCGGTCGGCAGGGGATGCTCACTCTTCCATGGCACCTGATCCCACCTCTGTTGTTTTGGAGGTCCGTGTTTGCTCTGCTCTTATTTTTGTATTGTTTAATAGACTTTGAGATTGAATACTATTCGTTATCTCCATATCCTGCATTTAACGTTCCTTTGCAAGACAGTGTGCTCGCGAAAATTTAATCCTTGCCTATAATAGTATTCCTTAAGATTATATGGAGCAATAACCACATTACGTGAAAATTTTGTCTCGCTTATCAAGAGTCATCTCGCGAAAATAAGGTGTCGCAGAAAATATAGAGATCTACAGTATGTGTTGGAACGAATTATTTGAGCATCTAAAGTGAATCATTGACCTATAGCGTTTTTAGAATTTTAGTTTTTGTAATACAACTTCTAAAACAAGGAAGCCTTCATGTAGACCTAGTAAAGTTGAAAATGAGCAAAATCAGTTGGACGATAAATTGTATTTTGCAGTCATAACATGCATATGTTAATTTCATTTAACATATTCGAAAACAAAAACAGATTTTTTAGAAGGTCTGACCAACTGATACCTAAATTGACTTCAAAATACATCGACAAAAAGAAAAAAAATTGTAACATACCTTTAGAAAGAGTTAATATACATACCTGATTAAAATCCCATATATTTGAGGGTGTACAGTTAAGTCTTTTGTGATCTGTAGTTTTAAGAAGAATAAAACCTGCTTATCAATGGAGTTTTTCATGCAGTTGTAAAAGGACACATGCACGTAAACGATACGTATCGAAATACCAGAGCTCTTTCTGCAAGTGAAACATTACCTAACATGTCTTTTTGTATATTCATTTCATCAAAGAATTTAAAGCTTAATTTATCTTTCATATCTCGATTGTATTTTTGCATAGTGTCTTCTTTAAATCTGTATTTCAATCAAAACATGACTTGTATTGTGTTCTAAGTTCACAATACAAGAACCAACAATATTGTCCTTTAAACAAATGCTGACCTAAACAAATTATTAGCAAAATGATCCCGGAAGTTAAAATCAAAAAAGTTGGATATAATTATTATATTCGTAAATATGCGACTTAATTTTCTATAGTGGTAATAATTCTTTTATATTTTGTCAGGAAAAAATCTATTAAAGTAATATAAAGTCATTCCTTGTTAAGAAAGGAATTATTTTTAACTGATCCATTTATGATTTGTAGATAAAGAACATAAAAAAAATTGAGGCAATGGCGGGGATATTTTTATTTACATACGAGTATATGCTTTGTCACAGTACTACTCTTTCTCTAACGTTTTCAAGATTTTTTTGATTGCTCTGCACACAATTTTGATAATGGCAATGGACCTTTGATAACTTTTCCTAATCTCAACATTTCTTAAAAATACCATGGAAGTCCAGATAAACTTGTACGAGTGTTCTTGTTGTTTATATTTTCATTTAGTATGAATTTATCTCTACATTAATTTGTTTGTTGTTCAAGTTTTTACTATCATGTTTGTGTGAACTGAACTTTTGCCTTTTCAAGTCTAAGAAGATAATTATATCTTTGTTTGCATACATGTTAATTCAATCTTCCTCAGCGTAAGATTTTCTTCAGTTTTAAACATTGTAAACGGGGGTTCAACGTCGTGCAGAATACTTATTCAAAGAAGAAGGTATGGTTTACATACAAATTTTGCCCTGTGATTTTCTAAAAAATGAAACTGGTGTAAAAGTTGAAAACTAATGTTTTTTAAATAATTGAAATTCCATGCAGAAAAATCATACAACTTATTTTTCATATGTGTTTTTAATGCTAATTATGAGGTCATAAACATGTGCATTTTCCCGTATTTTCTTAAAAAGTTGCAGAAGACATCAATTTTCAATGGAATTTTCTTTCAGATAACATTGTCCACAGGCATCGCCCACAAAGATCTTGAGATATGTGATTTGTTATTGAATTTTGCACAATATACCAAAAAAATTAACGTGGGCGACGGCTGTGGACACTGTTTTCTAAAGGAAAATCACCATTGAAATGTGCTATTTTGAGGCTTTTTTTTTTGTTGAAAATGGAGAAATGCTTCACATTAATGAGGTCATATTTGCAGAATGGTAAACCTTCATGCCATATTCTTTCCTGATTTATCATAGTGATTTATTCAACTAATTTTTAAGCCAGTTTCAAAACTTTTTGATGTCATAACATTTTAGGGCAAAATAAAGCTAAAACCATACCTTCTTCTTAATGCAACAAGGATAAAATTAATTCAAAATGTAAAGTGTGCTAATGGATAAAATCGCCCTTAGTTTGCCTTATTACAAATTCTAGCATAAAAATCACATTAAAAATTCTTTAAAAACAAATACTGTAAGAATTATACATTTCATTCAATTTATTGAGAATTCGTTGATCAATTACAAACGTCCCCAAACAGCAATCTCTGAGGGGTCAAAGTGATTCCCCGATCCTCCGTATCTGTACATATCTACCAAATGTTAAGGTAGGGCACCATACAGAAAACCTTTGTTCAAGTCTTGTAGGCCCCGAGAAACGGCCGCAAAAATCCATCGAGTTTAAGTAAGGTCTTTGGCCAACTCTGACTTCAACATCTTGTACATGGATATGTATGTAATTATAAAGTACAAATAAAAAAAAAATATGCTGATACAATGATTATATGAGGTAAAATGATTAAAAAAAAATACATTTGAAGTATAGGTACTTTAACAAGTTTCCTCACAAAAAATTAGGGTACCTTACCAGGCATTTGGCCAAGATACCATAGGGTCATATTTCTTATATTACCCATATGGATAATCCTCTGAATAGCCTATAACACAATTTTTGGTGTACTTATATTTAAAAACATTTTAAAAACAATGAAGAAGTCAGAAGAGAATGGCAAATATGAATATTTTTTTATATAAAACCAAGAAATACAAAGCATATATTTGAGCAACGTGTAGTCTGACCTTAAATATTGATACATATACACATGTACCTTATATTAAAACAATATGTGTCTGTGAAACATGGATGCCGCCGTATGCCAGCTTAATTATCACAAGGGTTAAATTCTTTCAAATGAATGTTGAACTCAAAAGGTCAAAACTGTTGGTTCCCAAAGGAAGGTCTTGTTACAAGGAAAGCACCTGTGAAATATGAAAGTCCTGTTTCTCAGTGTACAAAAGTTATGACCAAGATCAAAAAGCGGGTCAAACTCTTAGGTCAAGGCCAAAAGGTCAAAAATATTTATACCAGCTGAAAGGTCTTGTCACAATGAATAACCATGTGACGGAGGAATGCCTTAGCTCCAACTGTTCAAAAGTAATGGCCAAGGTTAAAGTGTGGTAATTTTCTAGTAAAAGTAGGTCAAACTCCTATGCCAAGGTTAAGAGATCAAATTTTGTGGTTTTAAGGGAAAGTAATGACTTGACACAAGGAATACACCTGTGAAATATGAAAGCCATAGTCCAACCCACTCAAAAGTTGTGGCTACGTTAAAGTTGACAACAGACAGACAGAGAAACAAACAGAGCAACAAACAGAACACAGAAAGACAGGACAAAACAATATACCCCTGGGATCTTTCTTTTCGGGGGCAGAAAAATGAAATATATTTTTCCTTAATTAATAAAAATATACATCATCACAAGTTTAAAAATATTTACAAATTATGTGGGTTTTTTTCATAAATAGTTTTTTTTATAAAAAAAAAATTAAAAAGTCTAAGCAGACTTTCTTTACATATTTTATTAGGTAGTCATGTGATGCATTCATTTACAGCAAACATTTTACAAGAAAGCATCTTATTTGCATGTAATTAATTTTTTTCGTTTTCTTTGAAAAAATACAAAAAAATTCATATAAAATAAATACGAGCTAATGTCGGCCTTTCAATGCTGAAACCATTGTTTAAAAAGGATGACTCAGAGATCTATAAAATAAAAAGTGGCATTCCTCTTCAAACGAAAATGAACTGAACAAATGCCTTCAAACATTATCAGATTGTTTGCAACAACGATTTCTACGACAAAATAAAACATGTATTGAAGCTGAAAAAATAATATTTGACCTCAAAAGTGCAAGACTTCGATTTCAAAAAGAACATGTTGGAGGCCTGTGTAAAATTTTGTTAAACGAAACTCGAGAAGGAATTCAATGTCGTATTGTTCAATATTTAAATGAACAGCCTGTCAACCAAATATACACCCATCATACTTCCGATTTTTGTTCAGTGTACGGCAAGGAATTGGTTTTAGGGGGTATAATCGGAATCATTGCATTTCTTTTAAACATCAGAACAACGGAGATCAAAGATGTTCCCCGCACTAGTAAAGGTTATTCTTATAAAGATATATTTATATCTGGCTTAAACGTGTGTTTAAGCAAAAAATTAATATTACCAATTTGTTTTTACATATCGCAAAAAAGAGTTTGTTTTCATTGATTAAAATTACATTTCATGTAACATGTAATTTATTGCTTATATTATATTCAAAAACTGGTTTATGGATACAACCTGCTTTACAATGGACTTTTTGTCCCCCTGGAACAGTGACCTTAACTTTGATTACTACATTAGGATGCATGAAAAGTTAATAGGAAGAGAATGGTTTATTGAAGACTTGAGCTACCTTGTGCTGAAAACAGATTATAGGGGTGTTCTTTTCGCTGCTGAAATGGGGTTTGGCAAATCTGCAATTGTTTCCAATATTGCCTACGCTGGAGATAAACGTTTGCCTGGGTATCCTCTTTATTCTAAATTAGTCTCTATACATGTATGTCGTTTTGATTCTCATATTACATTAAAACCAGGTATGTTTGTAAAGAACATGGCCGCTGGTATTGCACAGAAATTTCCAGAATATGGTAATATCATACATTTAGATAGGATGGCACATGATTATCTGTTCACAGAAAAATGCTTTGAAGATCCCCAAGGTTGTTTCGACTTTGGAATTTTGAGTCCCCTTCAAAAAATGCAAGGTATTCCTGACAAATTAATTGTATTAATGGATGCTCTTGATGAGTGTATAGAATATTGGCATGCAAACAAATTTACTTTACTTTATGAAAAGATTCCACGTTTACCAAAGTTTATTAAAATTTTATGCACATCTCGAAACATTTCTCAAATACGAGAGAAGCTTCCACCTGGGATTATTCTCTATGATAATCCATACATTAAAGAAAAATCTACTGAAGATATTAAACAATACATAGAATTCAGATAAAAAGATGACACTATTAATACAGAATTCAGTCAAATTTTATCGAATCTTAAGAGAAATGACAAAATAGATAAGATAGTACATAAGGTGAATGCGAATTTTTTGTTTTTAATTCACGCCTTCGAATTTTGGGTAAAAGTTGGAGATACCAGCAGAATACCAGATACACTTGAACATATTTATGATCTTAGTTTTGAACGAGTTTTTGGAAAATCAAACGATAAATTTGAAAAAGTAAGATCAATTTTTGAAATCTTGTGGGCATCTTCATCTCGCATCAAAATGGCAAAGTTGTACCATTTTCTTAATGTCACTGATCCTGATGAAAAAATTCAGATTTCTCGTTTATTATTGGGAGAATTGTCTCATTTTGTGAAAGTTGAAATAGGCTCTGTTGGATTTGCACATAAGCATTTTGCTGATTATCTGTCTTCAATTGACAAATCGCATAAGAAATTCTATATTTCAAAACGCAAAGGACATATTCGAATATCAAAGTACTGGATAAATTACCTAATCAAAAATACTGGAACATTAGCAAACATTTTTGATAGTTTCTATCATGTGGCAAATTGCGACGACAGTAGTGTAGAAGAACATTTCACCAACGTTATTTCTGTGATCAAAAGTAAAATTGAGAGTAGGAAACTTTTTCACCATCTTTTGCATAAAGCAGCATATGGAAATAAGGATTCTTTGAAAGCCCTGTTGGAAAATGGAGTCTTTAAAAATTTGTCGATGCTTTCTTATCAAGATCATCAAATTACCTCAGATCTAGATTTGATATACATTTGTAAGTATGAAACACACTGGGGATACAGTCTTTTAAACAATGCTTCGCAGAACGGACACGAAAACGTTGTTATACTTTTAACTGATTCGAATGTAAACGTATTACATGAAAACGCAATTGGTGTAAATTCATTTCACCTTACTGCTGAGCATGGGCACTATCACATTCTATATTATTTCAATTCAATCAATTCTTCTCTCTGGAAAACTAGTTTAAATCATTCTCTTTACCTCGCTGCAAAGAACGGACATCTTCAGGTTGTTCAGTATTTTCTTTCCCTAGGTGCTATTGATCATTGTTTACCTTGTAATGGAAGTTTATATTGGATACCATGAGGGAAAAAAAGACTTCAAAGTAAAGGATTGCAAGCCACATATGATTATAGCAAGAGAGGTTACATATTGAAAGATGATCAACAATTGCTATTTTGTGAGTCGGCCTTAGAGGTAGCAACCCAAGGAGGGCATTTTGAAGTTGTAAAAATCTTGACAAATGAAAAGATTAATGCACTTGGATGCTCATATGCAAGGGACAGAACTCCAGTTCTAACTGCAGCAGCGTATGATAGGGAGGATATTCTTTTAACAGGTCTGGACGATTTCTAAATATGGAAGTCAAGAACGATAACTGAAAGTTGCTATAAATATACATCAGGTACACGTAATTATTTTTCTTTCCAATCAGACAACAGCATTTTTACACACTCCATAACATATCTTAAAAGAACAAAAAAAAAAAAAACACGTGCTTATGTTTTTTTCCTTAAAAAGATTTTTTTGACAAAAAATCTTCAGAAGTAAGATGAAATACCTAGAAGAATAAAGTATTCCCCACATATTTACCGTGAACAACCATGATATTTTTATCTAGGTAAAGAAAAAAAAATAATGCATGATACAATGTAATTGTTTACGGGGGGGATAACAAATCACATTAGCGAATTCTTATAGAGTTCTATTATAAAATTTACCACGATGTACTATATGTTGGTAAATGTAGTTTTGCTTAGACATCCGATTTTCATCAATACATGTCAATGATGCTTAAATTCCATGTGTACAGATCCATCTCACACAAGTGTTTATCGTATGGACTATATATAGATTTAAAATATCACGGATTTTCTGAGCGCCGATTACTTAGCAATGCAGAGTTTAAATTGGCATAAGTAAAGGCTTAAAATGTGGAGAAAAGAGAATAATTATACATGAATACGTTTTTCCCAATATCTTACCTCGCATGTAGAAATACTAGAAACTGTTTTGTTAGAAACACTAAAAAAATAATTAAGACTGTTATCCATTCTATAAGATTTTTATTTCAGCCTCTAAAAACTGAAAATTTTATCGTATTTATATCAAATTTTTACGTAAGTTAAAGTTTTGGGATTGCTACATCCTATAGTGACAGATTGTTAATCCCACTTAAAACATTTTCTAAGCTTTCAATTCATGTTTGTTCACGATAGAATTGTCATAAATATACTATTATTCCTAAATGTGCAAAAAGTTTACAAAATATTTGTTCCAAAAAAATCTTTTTAGCAAAAAACTATAAAACCACGTGTTTTATTTATTTTCACATGGGTATGTCTAAATGCTGTTATCTGATTGGTCTGAAGGACTAGCACCTTGTTTATTCTGTATATTTATAGCAACTTTCAGTTATCGTTCTTGACTTCCATATTTAGAAATCGTCCAGACCTGTTTAACCATATTACATAAATCTAATAGTTATTTTTCTAGTAAATGCAATAATGTAAAATTCCGTTTGACTGGGGTGTTTGAAAGAAATAAGTTAATTACAAAATTCTGTGCACCTGATCTATCACTGGAACACATTCTAGCCCTCTATTCTACATCTAAAACAATCTTTTCATTAATAAAGAAAAGGTTTAGTGATTGGCGTGTAGCTGATTCAAGTGGTGCTTCTCCATTTCATTATGTCGGTTGCAATGGGGGCGATTTAGGAAAAGTTGCATTCTTTATATACGTCAAATTGTTTTATACTGATAAAGCAAACAATGGTTCCACGCCAGCTCACTCTGCTGCCATATGTCGAAATTATCTATTCCTTGCTTTAATGTCTTTAAATGAAGTCGAGTATGATATTTTGACACAAACTAAAGATTTGAACAGCAGAAATGTTTTGCATTACTTAGCCTTTGGTAACGTTCCTCACAGCATATATCTAAAAGACATTCATGTCTTTCATACTCGAGGAATTATTGACAATATTACGAAATCTGCTGCATTATATAATAAATTATTAAGTGAGCAAGATATTGAAGGTAGAGCGCCATTACATTACGCTGCCATGTCTGGGAATCACTCTATACTGCACTCCTTTTTTTCTATAGCATCGACTCAAAGGTGTCTCAGATAAGAGATAAATACGGGATGTCTATCTTGGATACCTTGATTAATTACATGTTACCAGTCGAGCTCTTTGAAAAGAAGTATCACATAATGTTCCTTCCAAACAAGTGCAATTTACTTAATGTGTTTACGTCAGAAAAGTGCTCGTCCGAACGTTTATTCATACTGGATTCATTTGAATATTTTGCATATGAGATATTTTCGGAGCTCGTTAAATCAAGTTTCTTGAGACGGAAAGATATTTTTATATACATGGAAACTGGCATGATGAAAAACAGAATACACGCCCTTAGTTTAATAAGAGCCTTTTACCCTGATGTCTTTTTGAAAATGCTTCTCATTTTTATAAACTGTTTATCAAAGGATATATATACCCCAGTCATTACCTGCAGTCTCTCCTACTAAATGACATTATCAAACTGTACTGTAACTCAAACGCCAGCTCTTTAAATCTTTCGGAATTTTAAGTTGACAGGAATAGAAGATTTTGGAATGCATTCATAGATGTTACAAAGATGCACTCATTTTTTCCACAAATAATGTCACTTATATATTAGATAATTGTCCAAATTATAGAATATTCCCCTATTTAGTGATAGGAGGGAGTGTGACACCATTGCGATTTTTGACCAGTGCAAACAGAAGCTCAATTTCGTTCAATCTTCATTATTATAATAAAGAATACTCCGTGTGTATCTTTTAAAGCGTCTCAATTCAATTTGAAAGTCATTTATGCTATGTATGGAAAGGGAACCGCGGTGGTCGATTCTAAATATGAACCATATTTCCATTCTTTTATGATGACTTTTGTAGTTAAATCGTTTTATGTACTTAAGGCGTTTGGTCTCAGAAAAGACATTTTCGTTTGCTACCGTACATCAAAGCTCAGTTTCATTCATTTGCTCTATGCAAAAGGTTTAGCTAGTTATACCCATTTGATTTTAAAGAATTTAAAAATAAAAGCAAACAAACGTGCTATCCTGAATTGTAAAAATTATGTTTTCATTTTTCCTAGACAGTTGAGTCTATTTTTTAATCACAATTCTTTTTTTCAAACCAAGAATGATAAAAGCATTTTCCTTAAACAAAATTTTGTAGCACTATTGTTTAAAGTTGTCTTGGATTATAAACCATTTGTGTTTCCAAAGTCTTTTGCACCTCTGAAATGTTGTAATACGCTTGCTGGCACATGCGATAGAAAACGATTTTTTAGAAAAGTATATTGTCTTAGAACATTCGAAAAAAAAATTCTATATTTGCTCGCTTCTATTAGAAACACAAATGAACAGGTTATATGGAACATTTTTAATTTTAGGGATATAATGAAATATGTTGAACCTTTGCAATGGTATGACAAAGAAGTAATAATGCACATTGAGAAACTTAGAACGACTAGATACACACGAGTAATGTTTCTTTATTATAAAGTCTTTAAAGCATTATATTTAAAGATAAATTACAACGGTTGTTTTTGTTTAAGCTGCAAACAGTTTTTTACACAAGGAAGAAGCAAATTGTGTGTAACATACATATCTTTCTTAAATAAAATGAAGAAAAGGATAAATCCTAAGATAAAAGCTTGTTTACAAATAATTTTTCCTTTGTTATACTTTTTATATGATAAACATATAGATGAGTTACCACGTTTAGCTGGTAGAAATGCTGAAGAGAATGTGAAGGTCATGCTGGCATATGCTGCTGTTCCAAACTTTTATAACAGCCCTAAATTCGATTTCTGGAATGACTTGCAATCTAAATTTAACAACCCATTTCGAGAAATGATTAAAAAAAAATTGTCTTCAAGTATTTCTGATATATTGGATTGGGCAAAT